AAGGGGGAGGGAAGAGGGTGGGTGGCCAAAACGCGCCTGCCGTTTGGCTTGGCGTTCCTTGGAAACGCGTTCCTTAAAAACAACCGCCTCCGTTGCTTCCCTCTCGCTCTTATTTGGTAACGAAGATCGTTTCCAGTTCAGGAAACGTGCAGCCCATTTATCAACCTCCTCCTCCCCCCTTCCTAAGAGGCTGGGGAGGGAGAGGAGGCAAGAGAGAGAAAAGGGAACGCGTGGATTCGTGCGTTCACAAGCATTCCAAGAGTCGTTGAAATCATTTCGCTTTTTAATTCATTGAATATTGTTTTTGTAAGCGCACACGCGTGCACAACCGTGGCTGCCTTTCAGCCTGATAATGTAACCTCTCCGAAATTCCACACTGCGTAGCAAACATTTTGAAAGGCTCGCCCAAGCGAGAGGGAGACACGGGGTGGCCTCTTCAGACGAGCCCCCCCTCCCCAAAAGTCGGTTTACAAGGAAAGGACGCCAGGAGCCAAATAGCGAACGGAAGGGTCGCATTAACTACACGATCCTCCTGGGGCGAAAATAATAATAATGCTAATAATAATAGCGCTTTAAGGGGAGGTGGTTTTCATTTGGAAGGAGAGATGCTGCGCCGTGTCCAAGCGGGGGGGGGGGGGGAGGGGAAAGACGACTATTGCGTAAACAATAATACAAGCTTAAGGTTGTTTCTGCCCGGGGGTGTGTGTGTTGATGAATGTCTGGAAATGCTAGCTGGGCAGTATTAGAGGGGGGGGGCAGAGAGGACTCGGTAAGCGGAGCCGGGAGAAATGCCCGCATGGCCGTGGTCGCTCCGAGCCTGCTGCGCTTTTTTTTGTTTTCTTTTGTGTCTCAACGTGTTAAAAGCGAAGTTCCTGCGTTGCGCAAACGTGGTGCGCCTCTGCTGGTGCGCCGCGCTTGGCAGAAAGGGGGGGGGGAAGCGGGCTCTCTCTCTCCGGTGGGGACAAAGCTGTCTGGGTTGTTGCACGCGTGTGTGTTGTGTGTGTATCTCTCCCTCTCCATCCCTCTTCTCTCCCCACCCCTTTCCTTTCTGGGGATGCCGATGTCTGCTTTTGGGGGCTTGGAAAGGGTGTGTGTGTGGAATTTCAAGATCCTGAGGCTCAGCCTTCCTTCCACCTTCTTGCCCTGCCTATTGAGGCTCTAGAAAATAATGGGGACTTCGTTGTAAAACGGGCACCCGCCAACAATAACGCTCGGGTTGCAATGGCAATCGGCAGTCGCGGCTCCTTTCCCTCCCCCAGTGGTCGGTGGTCCAGCTATGTTGGGAAAAGGGAGGGCGCTTCCTCTAGTGGCGGATTTCCCCCCTCCTCAAATTGATTTATTCAGTCTGAGCCTTTTAAGGTTTAGGAGCAGAGCCAGGGGTGTGTTGAGGGGACTTTTCCTTCACTCCTACCATTTTAGCTCCCCTGTTTTGTTTACCTCTTTTGTTTGAACCCTGCCTTTTTACCTGTGCGGGTGTTTTTGGAGAGCTGGGGTTATATGTTAGGGAGGGAAAAAAAATACTACACCATTGTAAAGTGGGGAGCCTGCAGGTCTCGAATCTGAAAACGAAGAGGAGGGTTGTGCTTGCAAAGCAAAGCTAACCCTTGATTCCTTGTTTATCTCTCCTTTTTGGTGATAAAAATGTCCTTGGGTAAATTAAAAGGGAAAGCTTTGCGTAAGGATATTCTCATGTGAGGAAGGGTTTCTCGGCATTTGAGAGTAATAGGAAAAAAAGGGAGGTGGCGTCTTTTAAGGAAAGACAGGAGTTACCACAAAGGTTGATATGAAAGGGACAACTTTGTGAGCCTTGGTTATTGAATCATTCGGAGAAAATACTGGCTTTTAGTTTTTTTTTTAAAAAAATGGTTTTGTTTGAACCCCACCCCGCCCCAAAAATCAATGGGAAGTCTAGGATGCATAGAATACTGTTTTTCTTGTGTGGAAAAGCTGGCCACAAACCTGGTGGGTCTAATTGTAATCTTTTAAAAAAATATTTTGTGATGGGTGGAATGAGAAGTAAGCTGGTTAAGAAATGTGCAGAGGCAGTCAAATCTTAAATGCATTTGCTCAAAACGAACTGGGTTCAATAAGACCTGTTTGCAGATAAATACATACAGAAATGTAAACTTACACTTGAAAAGGACAGTTTCATGCCAGGTGTATATTTTTGTATAAAAGTTTTTAGTCCTGCTGCAGCTGTTTTTCTTAACGGCCGTATCAGTGGTAAATAATGCTACAGATTCTCTGTTGATCAGCTTTGAATCCTATTAAGATGGTTCCTTTTTGACTGCTGAGCTGAAAAATTAATCATTTTTAGAGGAAACAGTCCTTAGGCAGAGTGTTCTAGATATTAAACATAATAAAAACATGGTTGATTGTTTCTGTGGGAAAAGAGTCTTTGTAGTTCAGTTAAAACACAAACAAACAATCCACGCCACACACCCTGTTTATTTTTTTTTTAAGCTCATGGTCAGAAAAACAGACTACTCTTCCAGTATGTATTTTTCTTCCTTTCCAAAGTTTATTATTAGCCATCCCATAGTAATGAAAGGAACCTTTAGTATTAATTGTTATGTTTTTTTTAAAAAAAAACGTAGAATGTGTCATAGCTGAACAGTCTCTTCCATTTTCGGTCATAAAAAGCTATGCATTCCTAAATAGGAATACTGTACAGGCATTGAAACTATGCTGATGGGGAAAGCCCATTGCTGTATATGTATTTTTGTTGTTGAATCTTCAATTAATATGCATGTAAAATGGCTAAATGGTGGTCAATAGCAAAATGGTGGTTAGACTATGAAGGAACAAAGAAGGGTCTAATACTAGCCCTTAAAGGAAAGAGTCTTCTTGTAAATAAGTTGTCATTTTCACAAGACTCGAATGCAGGTGTTTTGTTCCTGGGTACGAAGGGCACCTAAGATTTTCCAGACAGGAGCCTCATTGAGCGCCAGGTGTTTTGATTTTGATTCTAGGTTTGAATTCTCATCTGTTCATTAACTTGCTGATGGAGGGAGACCTGAACACCCCTTCTCGATAATGGCCAGTTTGAAGTTGAAAGAGCCGCCTCCATAACTCATTGATTCGTGTAGTTGGGGGCAGTGGTTTTGACTGAATGTGGGTGGGGACGACATCCCAGCAGCGGCCTGTGTGTGCCCTAAAATCCTGTTATTTAATTGAACATGTTTCAGTGCAGTTTGGTTAGATGGTAATCTCGGGGAAATAGAGAGTAAAAACCTGTTATAGCTATAATTACTCGTGTGTGTCTGTGTATAGTATCAACATCAATATCTCTTAATGTGCTTGCTGATAAAGCAAATATCGTGAGCCTGAGAGAGTGTATTTGTTAATTCTGTGTGTAATTTAGATACCAGAGCGCAAAAATGGTTTCACCGTGAAGCGAATCTGTGTACAAGACGGGAATCTAGGTGTGACACCCAGAGATTGAATTATTTCTCTGTAAACTGTCAGTAAGGGATTAGTCAAAGGGATGTAGTGAGACACATCTACCCTGCCCTATGCTGTGACTTAGCCCTGCTCATTTCAGTTCCCTACAAACCTTTGTATGTTTTGTTTAGCTGTGGATGCTACTACATGGGTTGGTTATTGCATGAACAGTTGAGAGTGTGATTAGTAAAGCAGTTTGCAATAAACAAAATACTGTTAACCTGACATGATTGGCTGGAAGTCTTTGTGCCAGTACAGCAAAGTAAAATTCAAATTTAACTGTTGATGGTAGAGCATTAAAACCAAAGATTTAATGGGGAATGGGTTAGTAGCATAATGTTGTTGTGTGCTGTCAGGTCGGCTCTGATTTATGGCAGCCCCAGTATAGTTTTCAAGATACATAAAATGTTCAGTGTGTGGTTTACCATTGCTGCCACTTAGTACGTTTCTGTGGCCAAGGGAAGATTTGAACGCAGGTTTCTTGAATCCTAGTCCAACGCTCTGTCTGCTATACCATAGTGACTCTCAACAGTGTGTTTTTTCTAGCCTTATCTAGTTTCTGCTTTAGGTTTGGTGGCAACCATGATCGTGCCATGGGAGAGTTATGACATGAACCAAGCTGGTACTCTCGGCTGTTGGGCTAATTGTTTAATTCTGTACTGTGTCTTGTAGGAGTAGAGACAGCCTGTGTAGCCTTGGGCAAGCATGCAGTTCTAGGATGCCCCTAGAAGAAGGGAAGGGTGAACCACTTCTGAATACTGTACTTAAAACCTAGAAAATGAAGGGTTGCTATAAGTTGGCATCCAATGGATGGCATGTTGTTGTCATTGTTATAATAACATGAATCAATATTTTCCCATATCTTCTGCAGTTCAGTGTTCAGTATAGTTTACCATCACAGTGTTGTAGCCCGTGATTTTCATCCCTAAATATGGAATTTAAAAAGATTCATCTACTTGGATATGTTTCCAGTCCTGCAGTGTGCCTTGTTTAGGCTGTGTGATCAAGATGCTACTCTGGTTCTAAAATCTGAGCTCGCACCACAGGCTTTCCTTGTACAGTATAGTTTGAACTTTTTCTTTTTAATACATCTCTCCTCTTGGACATAGACAATGTATTCTGATGGTTGCGAATGTTGACTCAAGAGTTTTGGTAACCTACAAGGTGCTCTGTGGGGGGCGTGGCCTAGTAACTGTTGAACTTTTAACGGTGTGGTTAGGATCAAAGTCAGCGTTGCTGGAAGCACTGGATCCGTTTGAAAACTCTTGCTAGGAAAGAGTAGCAAGAAACGTTGTTTCTTGATGCTGGACCTAATGCATCCATAAACTTGCTGAGTTCATTCTTTTTGAGAAGGGGGCTTTACAGATGAATAGTGTAGGATATGAGGGCAGTTTACCAGAACTGCTGCAGAATCCATACAGTAACTGCCACAGGCTGAGAATGGAAAATATTGG